TGTTCAGCGTCCCGAAGCTGTGGGAGCAGGCGGCCAACGCTAGGTAAGCGACCGCTGGGTGCCACCCCTACCCACGGCTGCCCGCAGAGGTAGGATTCCCTCCAGGGTGGGTTCAGGGAAGTTCTGATCAGTCTCCAAAGCCAGCGTAATGTCAGAGGCATCTTCCTGCTCTGGCGGGCTGTCCGCGTTCCATGCGTGGAGCTGCCGTATAGCATCCCTAGCGGTCTCAGCAAGCGCATGGGCAACCAACCAACGGATAGTCACGGATGTCGGATTAGCTGAGCTCGCGCGGTGGGGTGGCCATCTAGCCTGGTTGGCGCACCACTTGCGAGATCTTTCGTTGGAGACGCAAAACGCATTGCTTGCCATGTTTCGGCGCCCGCCTAAACCACAACGTCTTGGAGTGGGCAAGACCCATCATTGCGAAAGCCAGACGGAATTTCCGAAGCATCTGTGGAGCAATCTTGCCTTCAAGCAGGCCATTCTCGCTTGCGCTTAACCCGAAGCGGGCCAGGCTGGTTCCCCACCTGCCTGAATGTTGTCTGACGGCTCGGACTGGACGAAAGCAGTCTACACCATGGAGCTTGCAGGCGGCCAAACGTGATGGAGCTTCCTGCCGACGCATGTCATTGGCTTGGACTCTTGTGGAACCATCGTACCAGGCAAAGCCCTGCCTGCGACCCTTGGAAAATGTGCTTGTTGGACACAGCTGTGCGTCTACATAGTTTCTAGAAAGCTTAAAGGGCCTTGCTGACTGCAACCACTTGGACAATTTGGTTGGATTAAGCACAGCTGTGCGTTCAATCAAGAACAAACACAAGTTGTGTTGCTGTTACTTGGACACTCCACCAGTTGACCTGCAAACGGATTGCTGCGGGTTTGGGTGGTTGTGTTTCATCAGATTGGTGTGTGTGCTTTAGTTTTTGCACCTGCCATTTTGCCTTTGTGTTGAGACCACAAGAACGGCCTATGTGGTCCATCCAAGCCAGAATTGCTTGTGTTTTGCGGGCCTGAAAGTGGTTGCCCGATTGCCTGGTAACTTGGGCTTCGTATCTTGTTGGTTTTTTCTGTGGATAGGAGTCACGCTTCAATCTCTGGGAAGTTGACCAATGCGGCTTCAACGTTTTCTGTGGTTGTGCAGAGTCGCTTGAAACATTGCAGACTGAAACTCTTGGCGGGCTTGGGTTTTGAACAGCGAAGATATTTACGCGTGTTGCGCCGGCCCGGAACTTAAGTTGCCATGCGCCCAATGAGGAAGAAGAAAGAGGGAAGGCCGACGCCTCCGGCAGAAGCCTTGTGAACGTCAGTTTGTCTTCTCCATTGAAGGGCATGTTGAGGTTTAAATGGTTGGGAGCGTTCACTTGGCTTGCACGCAACATCATCTTTGAGCATCAGACTTTGCTGAAGGTTTCGAAGCTTCTCGAGGCCGGTCCGAGGCCTCCTCCAGTTGAACAGGGCGCGATATAGTTTGCTTGCCCGATGGAGATCAACATCACCTTGCCATGTCATGCAGAGGGCTTTTCAGGACTTTCTCATGCCCGTCGAAATCTTTGGAAAGCTCAGGATCATCGAGGCCTCTTTTGAGGCCCGTCGAGAAGTCTGAAATTAAAACTTGCGGCAGCAAGAATAGCTTGCAGGATCATCTTAAGTGGTCGAGGCCCTTCGAGGTCTGTTGTGACGTTTTGAATAGAGAATGAAGCGGACTTGGAGCCAGCCGCGGCTTAAAATTCTTTTGTCTTTTACATGGAAGAGGCAGCCAGGGTTTGTCCGGGCTCGAGGCCTTGCGGGGACCCGTTTAATAGTATTATAAGCCCAGGTCCCCGAAGCCTCGTAGTCTTGCAAGCTAGGGGTTTTGGGATTTTGTTGAGGCCTCGTGAGGCCTCGGAAGGCCTCGAAACCCCATGAGTGAGGCCTGGGGGGGCCTCGGAAGGCCTCGAACCCCTGCAAGTGAGGATTCAGAGGCCTTGCAATATCGGTTTGCGCGACTCCAAATGTGGGGTCCAAAAATCTGAGCAATTCTGGCTTCGAGTGCGTGGGCCTCCCCTGTACTGCGCTGCTTGATGTGGAAAGAGGCATCGGTTTGAAAAAAAATTTTTCTGTTTGTCGAATTTACAAATTGATAAATCATTGCAGAGTGCTTATGCATCAAACTTGGAGATTGAACAGAAGAATTGGACAAACTGATAAATGTAGTTTATGCGTGTGCAAATGCAACAAGTGAACAAAATGAACAAAAGAAAAGAAAAAGAAAGCGATGTGCACGCCAAATAGTAAGTCTTTTACAAGGCGTGCGTGTTGTGTTGGTTGCTTACTGTATTCACCACTTAATTCGTTTGTTTAGAATTAATAGCAAGCTTGCAAACCTTGTAAAACAAGAAAACAAAACCAAATTAAAAGCAAATAAGCAAAGTGAGTAAACGCATAAATTTAACAAGTGAACAAGTCAGCGCCCATTTTATTCTGTCCTTTTGTTTACTACGTTCTCCATTTAAATAACAAAGAGAAAACAATAAAGCTCTTGCTCAGACATGCAACTGTAATTGTAAGACAGTTTCTGTACTGCTTGGCACATCAAGAAGTGTAAACGTTTTGTAATCCAATGGAAACGCGATCCTTCAAAAAAGAAAGATCTCAAAACAGTCTCCAACTTGCCCGGGCCATTTTAATATTAACAATGCCTGGGATGACGGGGGTTTGGGTGGTGGACTTCAAGCTTTGGAAGAAGTCAAAGGTAGGGGCAGGGCAAGCACGCACGGAGCGTTTTTGTTTGGTTGGCGGTTAGAAATCGTCAGTTCTAAACCAGTTTTAAGTTTTTGGGGCCGGAAGAGGGGGGTTTCTGGCGAAAAGCGAAGAGGAGGGGGTGGGAGTGGGGCTTCGGGTGGGTCCGGGTGGTCTGGTAGGGGAATTGAGGGTTTGGGTAATGGACTTCAAGCTCAGGAGAGTACTAGCAAGGAACGAGTTTGGGTGGTGGACTTTGTGGGCGGGGTCCCCTGGTCCAGGGCGGAAGGGGGTGGGTTTGGGTGATGGACTTTGGGCTTGGAAGAAGAGGGGCAGAGCAAGCACGCACGGAGCGTTTTTGTGGGTTCAGAACCGACAAAAAAAGTGTTTTTGGGCCGGGAGGGGGGGTTCCTGGTCGGGGGTCGGAAGGGGAGGGGGTGGGGGTGGGAGTCAACAGGTCGGGTGGGTCCGGGTCGCCTTGGAAGGGGATCCTGCTGGAGGGATAGTCGCGCCCCAATTATAATTACAAATCCTTATGGGCGCGTAATATAATACAAGTGAACTCATTACGTCATGAAGCTAAATTATAACAATAGTAAAGGGGCCTGTAATAATAATAATACTAATAATGGCCCCTTTTAGTACAGTATTAGTGTTTCCTTTCCCCTCTTTATTATTGCTTGGGCGTTTCATTCGTTTCGTGCGTTCACTTCGCTCCTTACAAACGAATACGCCCATATAATCATAATAGGGGTGAAAGGGAGAGAATAAGAGAACTACATGACAGGTCCAGTGAATAAAAGCACTAAATTACACTCTTTCACACGCTTCTTTGTTCTCTTCGTTCACACCATAATTCCAATATTAATATCTGGTTTTGGTTAGTAATTCACAGGTTGGGTTAATAATAGTGTGTGAAGAGAAGAGTGAAACGAACAGTGAATGAAATCCTCGCGACACCAGATAATAAGTAGTGAGTGTGAATATTAGAATTACGGTGAGAGAATAATATGAAGAGATTACGAAATTCTTTAATCATCAAATTCATGCATTATAAGGGCGTTTACGCGGTAATAAAATATTAAATCTTAAATTTTGGCTTTTTCATTCGCTTTTTCTATTCCTTTTCACCATTACAATCATTACCTTTACATTTAGTATATTTATTAACGGGCCGAAATACAATATTAAATGAATAAGGGCCCGTTGTAATAATATAATAATTCTTGGTATTTTGAGGTATTCATTCACTATGGTTTAGGGTCAAGTTTAGGCGTTTGGGGTTTCTTTATGCTGCAAACCCTAAACCCGAAACCCCAAACCGAATGTTGTGATGGTTAGCCTTCGTTTCCCGTGCTATGGGAGAAGTAAGTCGGGTACAGGAAGTTGTGGCCTCTGGGGGAGAAGGGACCTTGAAAAGGTCAATTTAGGGTTTGGGCGTTATGCCCTAAGTTGGGGGGATAGGCTCTAGGATTTGGTGCCTAAACCTTGAACCCCTTGTCCTACTCCTCTAACTCCCTCAACCATTCCGGGTTTAGGGTTTAGGGTTATAGGCTATAGGGTTAGGGCAAGGCCGGACCCTCCAGCTTGCCATGCCGCATGCCATGGCACAGGCACACAACGACTCACTCGAGCGGGAAAGACAAGAGCTACAAGAAGAACAACAAGATGGAAAAGTGTCGGCCACAGGACCCTAAGCCTCTCACCCGAAGACCTTGACCCTAAACCCTACAGATTGCCAAAAGGGCAAAACGGTAAACCCTATTTGGAAGGTTAATCACTGCCCCTAGCTAGGTTGTTGGTTCCTTTTCCATTTTTGTACGGTTTTCCTTTTTGTATCTTTCTTGAGATCCCCTGTAAGCACAGCATGTGTGGCCCTAGTAAGAATGTAGTTAAAAACAGCTGACAACAACGGTGCATAAGTGTCCCAATAGCGGTTCTTCATAAAGTAACTGTCATTTTCATGTGCAATGTGGTTATTGCTTGGCCAAGGGCTGCCAAGGACGGATTTGTTCAGGTTCCGTGGCAAAATGATATGCCACAACGTGTCGAGAGTGATGGGGAGAGCTAGAAGAAGCCAGGTAAACAACGAGAGTACCACACGAGTGGGGCTGTCCCGGTAGCTGTCCTGTCTCACTGACACACGCTGAGCTCACAAAATAGGTATGTCACATGCGTGGGGAAATTAGCTTAAGTAAACTTCATATGCACCAAGTGCTGTGCAAAACCAGAAAGACCAGAACCACCAAACAACCTCTTTTGGGCACTTTCCTAGTGCCCGCATGGCAAGACTGCGCAGGTTTCGATTCGAGTTTCTACCTATTTCAAGAAAAGGGTCTAGGGTGCAGGTTAGAGTAGAGGGTGCACCCCGACCTCACCGCGGCTCAAGGTCGAAAGATGACGTGCTACTTGAAGAGATCCGCAACCTTCGCCAGCTGCTTTCCGAGAGCAACGAGGAGAACCGGATCCAGGCCTCAAGGGTTCAGGGGTTTAGGGTTTAGGGGTTTAAAAGGTTTAGGGTTTGGGGTTTAGGGGTTTAGATGGTCTTGGAACGGAGGGATGTGATAAAGGTCCCACCATGGCTTCCCGCGAGGTGGCCAACATCCGTGATGAAGTGTCCGAGCTCAGACAGCAAGCTGCTGTCACGGAGGCACCGCCTCTCCTTTGTCAAGAAAACATTGTTACTATGATTGTTTTCCTCTCTCTCTTCCTCTTTCTTTCTCTCTCTCTCTTCTCTCTCTCTCTCTCTCTCTCTCTCTCTCTCTCTCTCTCTCTCTCGCTGGACGCAACATGCCCCACAAAGAGAGCCCGACAACTGCTTGGGTCGACATCTCACGCCAAGTGTCCTGTGCTCCAGGGTTCACTCTCGGCCGTGCGGCAACGGCTAGACGAAGTTGTCCATCCCTCAGCTCCGCCAATTTCCAAAGGCCCAAAGACCACGAACACTCTTCGGTGGACTTGGGTAACATTGGGCAACTGCCTCTGAGTCATGATCCATAGTTCTATGCTCAAAAACGATGAGGTTGCGCTTTGCCGGGACGTTTTTGAATGAGTCTGGGGTAGAATTTTGTAGAACTTCAGCTGCAACAGCTGCCGGGCAACTGCATGACCATGGCATCTTTGGCACCCGGCGTCTCATGCTGGAACGAGTGTTCGCGGCCCTGTGCGCCCTGATGCTTTCTCAGGTTGCATGGCACAGTTCTCCTCATGACCCTGAACCCCTCAACCCTAAACCCCCCCTAAACCCTGAACCCTACACCCCCCAAACCTAAAACCCCTTTTAGACACAAGAAATACTTTGGTGGCCGATGTTGGGGCGATTTTTCGCGTGAGGTTGGCATATCCAACGCTGCAAACCGCCATCTCGAGGCCGCGCGGAAGCGGTACCCGCAGGGTTTTTGGGTTCAGCAGAAAGGGTTTAGTGTTTCAAAACCCTCTGCGTGTTCTTCGTTGGTGTTGGTTAAGGGTTGATGGTGAGAGTGCGCAGCGCTGCGACGGATTCTCCGATGGCTTGGTGGTATTTCCCTGGTGACCTTGGCACGATGAGCTCAGAGAAGGGTTCAGGGTACCCTAAACGCTAAGCCCGAAAACAACCCCAAAAAACCAGGGATTTGAAGACGGTCTTATTCAGGTATCCCCCCCAGCCGTTTGATGGTCGGCATCCATCATGTTGGAGAGTTGTGCCCGAAACCCGAAAACTCCTGTGGGGCTGATTGGGCAGGATGTTTCCCATTCCATAGCCGCTATCCCATAATACAACCCGAGATAGCCTATGGAAACATGATTTTCCAGGGACTCCCAAATCCACCCTACACCCTAAACCCCAAACCCTAAAGCCTAAACACCAAACTCAGTGTGAGAGTCAGAGGCAGAACTCCAGGACTCGAACGCACAGGCGCAAGGGAAGGGCTTAGGGTTTGGGGTTAAAAAACCCGTAAGCGCTAAACCTAAACCCTGAGCCCTAACCCTCTTACCCGCAGCACGTGTGGTTTGCCCACACCCATTGGGTGCTCATATGGTCTGCCCAGGTTTGGGGTTTAGGGTGCAGGGTTTTTAGGGTTTAGGGTTTTAGGGTTTAGGGTTTTAGGATTTAGGTTTTTAGGGTCTTTTGGGTTTTTAGGGTCTTTAGGGTTTTTAGGGTTTAGGTTTTTTAGGGTTTAGGGTTTTTAGGGTTTAGGGTTTTTAGGGTTTGGGGTTTTAGGGTTTAGGGTTTTTAGGGTTTAGGGCTTTTAGGGTCTTTAGAATTTCAGGGTTTAAAATTTAGGGTTTTTAGGGTTTAGATGTTTTACGGGTTTAGGGTTTAGGGTTTTCAGGATTTAGCGTTTTAGGGTTTAGGGTTTTGAGCGCATCCCGACACCAACGAACATGACGCAATCAAGGGGTATAAGGAGGGGTCATATAACCGCTATATATACACCTTAGTATACCTAAGAAGCCCCTAAATAACCCCCAAAGAGCCCCTAAGGTCCCTTTTTAACAGTCCCTCCTGGACATAGTCCCTTGAGACAAAAGATCCATGTTTAGACTTCTCAGGAGTGCCTTCTCCGGCTGCTCCATCCAGGCCTTTCTTGGGCCATTGGTTATTGTTCTAAATGATGGGCCCCGTTTTGGGGTTCGAGCACAATCCTGAAAGTTTAGGTACCACGAAAGGGCCCAGAATAAAGAACAACCCGCCTTGGGAGTCCTTCACATACTCTCGGGGGCCTTCAAAGCCTTTAAAGAGAACAATCAGAGAGTCTCTAAACAGGGCTTAGGGCTCACAGAACAAAGCTTTAGCCTCAGCCCTGACAGGTGCGCCCGAGCCCAACGAGGCACCCTGAGAAGTGGTTGATGTCAATTAGGGTTTCGGGTTCAGGGTTTAGGGTGGAGGGCAAGTAGCTGAAGAAGGGGACCGCAGAGACCGCCTTTTAAAGCAGTTGGGGACGTGCTCGAGGTTCCCCTGCCGATGATCCGCGAGGACTCCGAGCTTGCAGCGCACCCCCCTAAGCCCCCTCAAGCCCAGAGTCCCTTTGCTTATCTCAGAAATCTGTCATACAAGCACAGATCCCCCAACCTTCTTTGATCACCGGAATCCCCTCCCCTCTGAGGTTCTCTCCCCTTAAGTGCCCTCCCTCCAAACTATTCCTTTTGCATGTTTTCGCAGACTATGTTTGCAAACGAGGGGGGCTGCGAACCCCCCCCCCGCCCCGCAAAAGCCTCGCGAGGGTCCCTTTTGACCTACCGAAAGGAATGATTCAACTTCGTTGCGGTCGTCTTTGGCGTTTATAGGGCTTCTGAGATGCCCTAAACCCTGAGCTGTGATTGAAGGAGCATGCCCTTCTCTGCTGGGCTTTTGGGTCAAGGGGGAGAGAAGTTTTGATTTTTGTCCCACCTGCCCGCCCAGTGTTGGAACCTTGTGGGGGAAGAAACGCACCCCTCAAGGAAACCGCGTAGTTGATGTGCAGGATTCGTAGTTGTGTGGGACTTTGGATGTGTCGGATCTAGTTTGCACTGTTCGCCCCATGCCGGAAAAAGGAAGTGGACGTGCGACTGCCATGCTCATGCTTCTGGAGGTTTTTGAGTGTTGTGTTTCTCTGTTTGAGAAACGCTTAGGAATAAGTTGGATGTAATAGGTTCAGCTGTCTCGCGGGTTTTCTGGTCTCAAAAGATGGGGGGCGCGGAAACTGCTGAGAAGCTGTTTTCAAATGGGATGCGCCCCCTCCCCCCCCAACATGATGTCCATCTTGCAACACGTCGCTCGCGCAGCCATCTGGGCGACTACGCCCCCAAGCCTGTCAAAGCTCCGCGCTTTAAGCCTTCGGGTTTGTGATACCGCCGAAGGAACTCCTTCAAGGATTTTGGTCTAGCCATTCGGGCGCGAGGTGACCACCATCCCTGACAGAGATCCGGTCTACGCGCAAAACCTCTTTTTTTGGAGAGTTACGTACTGAAAATCCTACGATGAAGAGAAACAGGAGACTTGCGCTACCCCACATGAAACATCTTCAAAACCGATAGGAATACAAAAGGCCAGTGCGTCGATGAAACTGAACTGGGTTTCCTGTGTCCTTGTTCGTCGCCATGGGACTGACAACTGAAGCCACAGCCCAGCGACTGCTGCAACAGCTTCTCAATGAGAAGCACGACGAGGCAACTGGTTGGAGTGTGATTGAAGATGCATAGGACTATGTATGCCGTGGCACCATTCCAGTGCAGGAAAATACAGACGGTAATGTACAATGTGGTCATGCATATGTGTATGTGTGTGTGTGTGTGTGTGCGCGCGTGTGCGTGCGTGTGCGCGCGTGTGCGCACGTGTGCGCGTGTGTGCGCGTGTGCGCGTGTGTGCGTGTGCATGTGCGTTTGCGTGTGCGTGTGCGTGCGTGTGCGTGTGTGTGCGTGCGTGTGCGTGCGTGTGCGTGCGTGTGCTTGTGTGAAACTTATTGTTTGCATCTTGCGCGGGCATGCAGTTCCTGCTAGTAAGCACTAGAGCACAAGGTGCTCTATGACGTGATGGCTGAGGGGGGTGCTATTACTTTGGTTTTTGCAGGTATTTTGGAGGTACCACGAAGGCTTGGGAAAGGCCCTGTGTGAGATTTGTGGGAGTTCGTCTCCTTGGGGACCGCAAGGCTTGTGTTTTGCATGAGCCCTGAATCCTGAACCCAAGCCGCGCAGCACGCAGGACAAAGGTGATGATTTCCAGTTCCTTGGCAGCCAGAGAATCAATCTTTTCGGGCTTTGGGGTTTAGGGTTTAGGGAAGGCTCTGCGGCTGAGGGGTTTTGACGTTTGGGCGGAGGCTCCGTCATCGTTCGCTCCATAGGCTTTTCCCAAAAGAAGGAGGGGAGTTGCCAAAATTCTGCAATTGCGATAATCCTTATGATCGAGATCCCAAGCGAGTCGTCAGCGGCTGAGGGTTTCGGGCTTCTTTTGAGGTTTTTGTCTGGAAAGAAGGCCTTGAAGGCCCTCCTAAAACCCACCGAAACCCAAACTTGTCCAACAGTCCACCCTGTTGGGAGTGTCGAGAGCAGCAAGGTATGACCCTCCCATCGACGATCCTGACAGCCCTGATGACGTGACGGGAGAAGCCTCACTGCAAGCCAGAAAGCACAAGACCCTGAACTCGGGTTTAGGGTTCAGGGTTTGAAGCCCTTCCACGTAAACCCTAAGCCATGAGCCATCCTGAAAAGGCAGTTTTCTCGACAGGCTGAGTGGCTTAGGGGCTTAGGTTCAGGACAGTTTGGGAGCCCCAACTCCCCCAAACGCCCCAAACCCTCTAAACCCCGAAGCCCTCAAACCCCCAAA